ACAAGATTCTTCACTATTCCATGTAAACTCTTTTAAGGACTTTGCAGTTTTATGGGTACTTTGTTTTTACAGTTTGCAATCTACATTAAGCACTTTTGTATATAGTGTACCAAATGAGGAAACCTATCTTCAGTTGGCAACAAGTATCTGACTGGTTGACTTTGTCTTTAGGTGACAGTGGCACAAACTCTTTTTGGGGTCATAAACAATGACTATTCCTCTGAAAATTTTATTATAATTTGTTTTTTTTTTTTTTAAATTTTATCTCTTGTATCCACCAAGTAATACGGGATTTGCAGGATATTCTAGTTCTAGGGAGATTCACTTTCTTATCTCAGGCTTCATTACTTTCACTTCTGCCAAACCACTTAATGAGGATAGCAGAATACATCTTGTCAATTGGGTATGTGCTATTTCCATTTGAAAATCTTGTTAATTTCACTTTCAGTTTGTTGATGTTATTCCTGTAGATTATTTTGACTCCTTATGGATGCTTATGTTTATATGCAGTTCCATGATAACTTCCATCTTAAAGGCCCAAGTAGTTCAGATTCAGATAGATCCTTTGAGTCTGCCCTTGCCCATGCTCTTGAAACACATACATATTAAATTATTGAATTTTATAGTTTATCTACTTGGTTATTAACTCACTTAAAACATATGTAATTTGTGTAAACCCTCATCATCATTTCATTAGCATTTGCTAGATCGTTCCCCATTAGAAATTATCGTAAAAACCTACCCAGGAAGTTCTTTGCATCATGACATCTGTCATTATTTCCCATCCATCTTGGGCATAGGTCACTCATCTAGTCCTAATTCCTTAATTTACTAGTTTCAATTAGGATTTGGTTTTATCATTTTGTCATTTGGCGTTTTATCATATCAGTGGTTTATCTGTTCTTTTCTTATGCTCCTTGCACCACCACTTAATCCACTGATAGCTTTAACACTTCCATGTTAGATTATCTCTGCGTACTATTCTGTATTTAGTTAATTTCAGCTCTGCATTAAAAATTTTGTTTGGAAACTCCGTTTGATTCAATATTGGGAAGCAGCCATTAACATCATAGTCAAATTTGTCAAACTGCTATTTGGTCCCCTGTGGGCCATTTGATATAACAGTGGTTGAACCGAGAAGCTTATTGCTGTCCTTTAGTAGTTGAAGCTGAAGTTGGGAGGTATTTAATGGCTGAACTGAGAAGCCATTAACATCATAGTCATGGTGTTGGGAGGTTTTTAATGGCTGAAGCTATACTTGGATAGACTACTATACCCTTGAGTACTTTATTATTTAAATATTTTATCCACTAAAAATAAAGCAATAAATCATTCAGTTCAACTAAATTAAGGAAGGTTGATCCCCCCAAATAACCGCTATTAGATGCATAACTAGATGGACACCATGGCTGGTTAGGAGCCAAAAACATAAACTACTTGACTTGTATTGTGGTCTTTATGTGGGGTATGAGAGTTAAATGAATTCAAACTGATAAACAATAGCAGTCATCATGGATAAGCCTATCAGTCGATCAAGTAATTCACTCTTTAATTAATTAATTGCAGAAGTTGTGCTGCACTTTAGCTACCAGCAGCCACGATCAAAGTCTTGCTTGCAGATATTTACAAGCTAGATGATAGATACTATTGTAACTTATATACCTTGAAAACTGAAGAATGAGAACCCAATCCATGATCCTTTTCCCACTAAGTAGAATGATTTGGGTCGTTATGTATTGAATGGGGTTCTTTTCCTGTCATTCTTCTCATAATAAAGCCCAAATTGGATTCTTTTCCTTTATGTAGGTACCACTCCCATAACAATGATTACCTTGAGATCTGTCGTAGCTACAAGGCAATCTATGAGATTCCATCTGTCAAAGAAGATCCGGCACAATGGATACCAATAAGTACTGTTTTTGAATTCATGTCTTCCCTATTTACCTTGGTTTTTCCTGGCAATTATTCCCACTTGCAGGTCCTACGGAAAATTTGTTGGTATTTAGTGCTGTCTCCACATGATCCATTGCAGTCAAGCCTTCTTAGCTCTATTTTGGAGGATAAGAATCTAGGTGAAATTCCAACATTTAGGTATATATTTGGCCACATTGGTGCTTTTTTAATACCAATTTCTTCTTTATTCCAAGAAATCATCCAATTTTTATTCATCTATTGTTTTACATGCCTGCCCGCTCAGGTTGTTGTTGAAACAGCTGACCACAATGGAGGTGATCCAGTGGAATACTCTTTGGGAGACATATCGGGATGAGTTTGAGAATGAAAAGAAGATGCTTGGGGGTCATTTGGGTGAGAAAGCAGCAGAGGATCTAAAACAGAGAATTATTGAGCATGTAATTGGCTTGTGCACATCCAGTTATATGGCATATTATTTTTCAAGATTTTATGATTTTAGATATTCAAATTAATTTAGTTGACATATATGCTTTCAGAACATATTAGTCGTGTCAAAATATTA